AATATACAGGGATAGTTGTCTTCTACAAACACGAACACAGAGTGGAACTAATGGCTGCTGAGGCATGTGTCTGTGTGTGTATGAACAATATTGTTGTACCTAAGCACACACTGGATGTACTGTTTCGTGTGCAGGTTGTTGACAAGTTGAAAATGGAAGGCATCAGCAAAGTGATGTGCACATCAGTGAGGAGTGGTGGAGTAATAAAGTGGCTCTGATGAAAACTTAATGGCCCCCTCACCTTTATTAATGGCTGTGGGAGCAGGATCGTGCGCTCGGGTTCACCACCGTAATAACGCATGGAGCTCTGCGCAGAAAAGCAGCTCCATTAGCTTCACACTCACTCACTCACTGGAAGAGAATCTTGTAAGTGGAAGGAAGACCCTCTAATTGACTCACTGACAAGTGGCTAACTAGCAAAATGACTGCTGATTTTAGCCAAATGAGCCTTAAACACAGTGTGTCACACTTAAGTTCAGTAAAGGACACGCAGTAAGTAATGTATAAATATAAATGAGACGCTCTATACGTACAGAGATCCCACTCTGTTCTGTGTTTCTATCAGTTTCTGCAGTTCCTAAACCTGCGAACAGAAACCCAGGCGTTGCATCCTTCCCTCTGCGCAGATACTTGCACCACAATCACACAAGCAGCCACTTATTAATATCTCCCTTTCAAATGCTAATTCCCTTTCATACATAAATCATAATTCCAGAGGTGGCTGCTATAGTGTAGCAGTTTAAAAAGAAAAAGATTTTTAGTGGGAGGGGGGAGGCTGGAGGGTCCAAACAGCCTGCCTGTAGTAAGGAGTAAAATTATTCCACAACTTGCATGAATAATAAGCGTCCCAGATACAAGTCTTCTAACAAGGTCAATTGTTTTTGCTCTAATAAGCTTACAACCTCTGTTTCCCACAGCAACAAAGCAGTCATTTCCAAAACTTTTCAAGTCAAGTCAACGCCCTACAAACAGACTCACACTGGATCCCCATGCGATTAAATGTTTACCCTCAGACATTTGTGAGTGTTTGTTGTTGGGTACAATTGCACAGCTGTTTCACCACAGGTGGGTAGAATGCAGTGTGGTCCCAAACAGCCACTCGCACACACGCTAAGTGGGCTCCATTTGACGAAGAGAGATGAAATTGAAATTCCTGCAAGTGGGGAGCCCTGATCGGTGAGCAGTCTGCCAACCTAGTGCCACTTTCGCAGCTTTGATGTGTGTCTGGCGTGCTGGGCTGCAGATGCCGCTCCGTATGATACACCCCCAGATCAATGAATCATTTCTTCTGACTGAAAAGCACAGCATCATCCCCAATGTGTTTTTGTGAAAGCTGGCTCGGGAGGAGCATCAGCGCCGCGGTAATTATCTTGTTGTGTCATTCAGATTACTGTGACACATATGGCGTGTGCAGCATGTACGGCGTGTGGCCGATTACACTTTCACCATCAGTGAACCCTGAGCTAAGGCAGAGTCACTGCAGCTTCTGTCATCTTCAGCCCCCCCCCCCCAAAAAAAAATTTGAAAAATCAAATGAGCTTCTGTGGACACATGGAATAATAACTGATGGAGGAGTATAGATTGTGGCATTTACAGCATAACAAGTCATTTCAACTACATTTTTAAGTGAACATTTAAAAGATAGAGGACTTGCTATGGATATAAAAACAACTTGTTTAATTAAATGTCTCATTTTCTGGAATCAGGTGTAATTTTCTTGATTAAAGGGCAATTAATTATATCTGAATATGATTTGAAGGATAGAGGATTTGCTTAGATTTATTCATTTTTGCTTCTAACAGACTGCTGCCCTGCAATCCACTATTTCCCAGATCCTATAATGCCACCTGCCATGCCCTACCCACTTGATGCCCCACATGCTCTCGTCCATCCACATGTGAGGGACATGGGTGTGTATGGGAAGTCTAACTACCTGCCAGGAGCTGGAGGGGATCTCTGCGAATTTGCCCAGTCCCCCGAAGGTGTAGCATCGGTACATGTGATCCAGAGACTCCGAGCAGTGCCACAGCAAGCCGAAGCTCACGGAGTCCTTGTTGTTGTGGCTGTGGTGGTGGTGAGTGTTCCTCAGCTGGTCCTTAACAATCCAGGCAGGAGATATGAAGCTGAAGCTGCAGACGGCGACCAGAGCGGAGGAGAGGAGCACCCAGAAGCAGCCCACACAGCTGAACATGTTGGCGGCTTGGGGCAGAAAGCCCGGAGACAGACCCAGCTCGATCCCAAACCCGGCTTCTTCTTCTTTCTTCTCCCGGCCCAGGAGCGAATGCATTTGGAGCTCACACCTTCAAGTGCAAGACTTCAACTTCAGCACCCTGAGCAGCATTACATGAGCAAAGAAATCACTGGACATCCGTAGCGGCAGTCCCGTCTGTCTGTGTGTGTGTGTGTCCAGAACATCTGGCGTGGACAGACAAGCCACTAAGAAAAACATCCAAAGCACATCAGCAGGAGGAGTGATGTTGAGACAAGAAAGTCAAGTCATCCGCGCCTCCGCTTCGCCTGGAAAAATGCCCAAATCTGACACAAGATGTTTGTCACACCCAAAACTGGATGCGCAGATGTCCTACCAGAGCAGGTGGAGGAGCCGCTGGATTTAGAGCCACACACATGTCCTTGAGCCGCTGGCCTCCTCTGCTCCTCTCAGGGCACTTGCTCTGGCTTAACGCGGACAGCGGCGCACTTTGCGTTTAAGGAAGAGTGCGCCTGGACAACGTCAAGCTCTCACGGGTTAAAATGATGTACTTCCGGGTGTGATTTCCAAAATGAAATCCTGAGAGAAGAGGCGCGGCACGGCTTGAGACAGTGCTCTGTGTATCCCAGAGCCTAATTGAATAATTAGAACCAAAGACTACATCGATTTGACACATAGCTTTAATCGCTAAGAGGAGTAGTCTACTTATCTGCTCATGAAAACAAATAGCCTGTATCATGACTTCTGTTGCTCTGCAGGAGATTTCTGAAGTCTGACAAAATAACCCTTCATCAAATTATGCTATATTTGTTGCATTATGGGAAATGTAGGATGCACTGTTTTTGGAGATTGGCCCATTCAAGGGACTAAAATTAATGCAGTTTCATTAAATTCTGACCATGCTTTTTTGTGTCTCGAAAACGAATCTATGCATTTATCATGGATGGCATGAAATTATGTGTCTTTGTGTGTGTGTGGGGGGGTGGGGGGGTTCTCCAGGTTGTGATTAAAACTGCTCAAAACCATCAGTTATGTCAGAATTATCTGCTGTCGTACCACCAGACCAGAGCATTCCCCCTCTATCTCTGGAACTTAAATTCATCCTCAGCTCTCCTCTGTGTTGTCTATAATAGTTTTATTTCTTTACAAAGAATAAAAAATAATTTTATTCTGAAGGGAACCCACTTTTCCGGCGTCTCGCACATTGCTTATTTTTAACTTGACAGGCTCCTTGTCCAACTGCTCCTCGCACTTTGTTAAGGAACAATGTTGCGCGCATTGATATGGCTTTCACAAAGACAGTGAGACACACCAGTGGAATAAAAACAGTAACCTGTATGAAATTATTAATTAAACGTTTTTTTTTTAATTAGTACTTCTGTGCATCGACATGTACAGTCAAAGTGATTAACTGTTCCACAGATAGAGGTCTGTGCTAGCTATTGTAACATCTCAGCCAATCAAAGCTCAGACTGTCCGTTTGTATTGAGGTGGGCGTTGCCTCTGCACGTGCAGGTAGCCTCGGTCTGGTAACCACAATAAGCTTGTGGAGCTTCAGGCAGCATTTAGCAATACCCTGTGAACTAGCATATTGCTATTCAGCTGGTGTGTAACATATTTATCACACCACTTAGCTTTAGTAGTAGGCTAATTTACCTTTAAAATACACACAACTGCATAAAAATCACTGCAATTCTAATCTAATTATTCTGAACATGCTAGGGTACCTACAGAGCTGATATTATACTGCACTACTGTCATTAATACTAACCACAACACTGAGAACTCTGGAAATAAGTCCAGGATTTTAAAGGCTTTATAGTGTACTCAAGATGACTTTTGAGCCCTTTGGTTGAACTGCACTTTACAATTTGTGGATGTAACTGGCCCTGTTTAAGACAGAAAGTAGACATACTTGTGTCAGAAATAATATACTGACATAAATTTTTCAGTTTGACCCTAACATAGGAACAAAGTCAACATTGCCCCCACCTGGTCAGAGGTGATAATAATCCACCCTACACCTGTTAGCACTAGGCTTGTCGCTTTTCCCACATTTTAACTATATTACGGTTTTGAAAACAATGAAAATCAATCTGCTTGTAAACATAAAACATTGTTCTGTATCAAAATAACCACAGCCTGCAGTGCGCTGAAACCACAACTTCATACAAAGACTTGAAATAAGTGAAAGGGAAAAATGAGAACAGACAACATTTCATAATATATGTATTTAAATCAAACACAATTTAAATATATTATAGATTAAGTACACATACACATCAGAAAACATTAGCGGTACATAGTACCAAGAGTCTTTTCTGGTTCTTTTCCACATCTTGGTAAGGCTCAAAAGAATAAAAAAAAAAAAAAAAAAAAGTTAAATTCACTGAGCACACTTTCCAGTTGAACAGTCTGGTCATCACTGACATTTGTTTCAGTGATGCATAAAAAAAACAGCAATCACCATAAAAAAGGACTAACATTAATATATGGGGTAAACCAGAAATATATATATATATATATATATATATATATATATATATATATATATATATATATATATATATATATATATATATATATATATATATATATATATATATATATATATATATATATATATATATATATATATATATATATATATATTTATATATATATATATATATATATATATATATATATATATATATATATATATATATATATATATTTATATATATATATATATATATATATATATATATATATATATATATATATATATATATATATATATATATATATATATATATATATATATAAAACATTTAGGACATGGAGTTTGGAGTTTTCCAACACAACTGGAGCACTTAAGTTCATTAGGGGAATAGTTCTTCTTCTACACTCTGTAAAAGGTGCCGGGGGGGTTCATATAGGAGGCCAGCCAGTCCCAGAACTGAATCAGCTCTTCTTCTTTTTCATTGTCACATTTGCAGATGTTCTACAGTATGTAAAACGGCCAAGTAAGGACAGCTCACATCAGTGAACAGCAGACAAAACTTCTCGGGCAGGCTGAGGAAAGCGTATGCAAAAACTGTACAACGCTGATTTTCATTTACTTGAGCCTCAAGAGGCTAACTTTTAAGACTTACTTTTATCTAAAAACAAGGAATGGTTATAAAAGGTGTGGGGAGGAGTGTCATGAGGAAGGGAGGGTAATTCAGTCTTTGTCACATCCTCCATAGGTCCATTTTTCTGACAGTGTGGCTACAGCAACGCAGTGATGGTCCTGACTGACGCGCTGCTCCTTTGTGCCGAACTTCTTCCAGCGTCATGGTGAATGTTTCCTTCATCAGGAGCGACTTCTTGCAGTCCGATGCAAGCACTTGGCTTTGCTTTGGGCAACTACACGTGTACCTTTATGGTGTTATGGAGAAGATTGGAACAATGACGTACTTCAACTTTTCCATTAGCCCATGCGTGAATAATCAATCACCCAAGCTCATAGTCACACACACACACACACACACACACACACACACACACACACACACACACACACACACAGTTGGAGAGATGATAAAATGCCTTTGTTCTTTGTTCTGAGTAATGCAGTTCAGTGTAGGGTAAACCTTGTGTACAATTTCTCACTGGCTTGGCCAGCGTCTGCAGGGAGCGCCATTCCTTTGGTTCCTCAGTGGGGTCATAACTGCAGACAGACAAAAAAAACACTTAGAGAGGAACTCTAGTCATTCCACACATCACCGCACAGGAAAGAGACTAATGAGTGAGGTTTATGTACCTTGGTGGCCTTGCCGGGGCTGTCGTGGTTTGACTGGTGGACGACGTCGTTGACAATCATTTTTGCTATCTGCCATGCCATCTCCTCCTGGGCCTTGATGGAAAGAGTCACAGCACAAACAACCAACTTTAATTCACCACATACTTAATAAGTGACACAAGAGTGAGTGTGAATACATGCCACCGAGAGCCTAGCTATGTACTACGAAATCATTTATAGTATAGAGTATTTTAGCATCTCGTGGCCTCACCTCATCAGAGTTGCCCTGGACCCATTTCTTCATGGCTTGAGAAAACATGGAGCCTAAATGAGAAGAGAAGGAAAGGCTGAGTGAGACAAAGGAACTGCATCAGTAAGCACAAATCAACCTCAATAAATCTGAACAAATAGACTGCTGCAAATTGAATTTCACTTTTTCAAGGTGAGTTAATCCTGACACTTTAAAGTATTCAGTGCTTTATTAGACATTAGACTGCAGCAGTCTAACATATTCTAGTCCAAGAGAAATCCCTCTTAGACATGATAGATGTAGTAGTAGAGTAGTGGAGGCTGGGTTTTTTTCCAGGGAAATGTTCTTAAATATTTCAGAAGGCTATGAGCTGTGAGGAGCAGCCACTAGATGAGGTTTATATTCATGGGCACAGAGTAGATGTTTCTCACTGCGAAGAGGAGTGAGATAAAAAATGACAGAGTGAGGGCAAAGACTCAAAGAAAATAATGAGACAGCAAGAGCCTAACAGGCAGAGGGGGGAGAGAAAGAGAGAGACATAAGTGTGAGCTTATCATGCCTTTGGATTTCTTCACGTCCGGCTCTGGCTCTGCCTCCCTGATAAACTGGCCCAGCTCATTCACCTTCCCAAACGTCATCTTTCTGTGCGGGCAGAGGACATGACGACGGATGAAGACAGCAGACAGAGCAAATGGAACAAAACTGAGCCTCAGGCACACACAACATTCAAACACCGCTGTGTGCGCGTGCGAGTACGCCTGTGTGCATCTATTCAATAACTGCAATTTCAATGTAGGCGGGGGGGATCCGACAGACCACAGCAGCTTTGTCTTTCAGTAACATCATTCTTTTGAATTATTTTTGCATGGGATTTTTCAAAGCACGCTCATGAAGTACTTTAAGATGGAGTCAATAAAAACAAAACTGATACGAGCATTAAATCCAAACAGCAGCGTGCGCCATCAAGGGAGCATAAACGGAGAGGAGCATGACAGTAAAAGACAGTCAGGGAACTCAAGGGAAACTACTAAAAGATTAAATTAGATAACAGCAAATATTTGAAAAGTGCATTTAATGAGATTTTTTCAAATACAGATTTAGCAATCTTAAAGACAAATTGGTAGTTAAACCCATCCAGTACAAATCACGTATTGTATATTCCATTTTTGAAAGCACGCCAGAACTTTAGACTGATTTCTGATCTTTCTCAACACTACATGTTACTGGGGGATTTCCATGAACTCTACTCATCTGAAGTGTTTTTCTGTTTGTATACCTATTTGACAGTATAATAATAATAATAATAATACATTTTATTTCTATAGCGCTTAGTAAAACCAGAAGTTATAGGAGTATAGACACACAAAACTCACCCAGCATATGGCCGCTGGTACAAGGACTCAGGATCCAGGCTGGCCACGTCCACCGTGATCGCCTCATCAAAGTTCTTCAGGATCTTGATCGCTGCCTTTCTGGCACTTTGCTGTAGTGAAGACAGCATGAACTGAATGTTTAGGTGCATTACAGGCAACAACAAAAACATCTTCAATATTCATGTAATGAGGTAGAACAAGTCTAAATGTCAGCAGGCGGAGGAATATCCCCCCATGGGGCATAAAGACGTGGGCTTAAAGTTGGGGTCACCTGAGTCTGAGAGCCCTCGCTGGTATTTGAACTTGAACGGTCGTTGTCCACTGGCCCGCCCTGACCTGGAGTGCTGACATTCACAAACTCATCTGCCCGCACAGAGTTGATGAGGTCACTCAGGTATTTGTAGTAAAGGTTGCTAGACAGGAAGCCTGGCATGTAGACCTGAATAAATGCAGAACAGGAGGAACTCTGTTAGAGAATAATGAGCTCCCTGATATATTTCTGGGCACAAGTCACAAAGGTTTGTTACTGACCTTTATGTGCCAACAACAGTGTTCGGCTTTTATTTCATTAACTTAAAGCAGGCGCATTTGTCAGTGGTGTAATAGGACAAGACATCAGTGACTTACAACACAAACCCTTTAGAAAGATTGTCTATTGATTGAGCAGATGTTTATAGAAATCTCATTAAATGTTTTAAAGGCCAATTTAAATGCACTGAAAGTTTTACATTTCTTTATTTTTTTAAGATGCTTTAATATACATATCTAAACTTTCCATATTTCTCTACATATTAAAAGAACATAAGGGACAATCCATACTCAAAATGGTGAACTCTTATTGTGTGGCTACTTGAGAAGCTGACCTTCTCCATGGTTGTCCAGGCCTGTCTGAGTGGAGTGGTGAAACAGTCGGGGAGTGGCCCTCCCTCTCGGCAGATATTCGACTCAATCTCCATCCGCACAGAGTCGCCGAAACCCAGAGGGTTGGTAGCCTGGAGTGAGAAATACCTGGAGACGAAATAGAGCAATGAGCAAATGAGAGCACCTATATTAAGATTTTAATCAATACCCACCTAGTCTCCCAGTATTATATTACTCCTATTACTACAGACCTGTGACCGGGCTTTTACATTGATAAATATGCAAAATCCTGGAAGAAACTGACTACATATTGTAAACTACTTAGAAGATGTAAGACCAATGTGTCATTAAATAACAATTTCCTGGCCAGGAGCCCAGCCACTCAGTGCTTAAGAGGACCTAAAGCTGTACACCTGTCTTTAACACTGATGATTAAGCAGAAGCCCTAACTTCACAAAACACACACACACACACACACGAAACGCGTTAGCAGGGGTCTGTACCACGCCTCAAGTTCAGCTGAATCTGCCTCTCTCTAGGTTTTACATCAGTGATCCTGGTTAACCATTAACGTGAAGCTGGTTATCAAGTGTCTCTGTTACCTCTGGGTTTTCTCGTTCATCTACGAATGTGTTCATGTGAACGAGGTGTTGTTAATCGCAAGCAACATCATCAGTACCGTGACTGAAGTACAGCGTCTTTATTGATTTCTCATCATACAAGTGTCAACATCGTTATGCAGTGTGTTCTACAGCAAGTTTTATTTTAACAAACGTGACTGAAGTACTTCATGATCCGAGAGCGGTGATACCCGTGGGATGATTTAGCTATAGTGGCGACAAAAATTGATTCCCCTGAAGAGGAGAAATGTAAACAATATAATCACATAGCCAGAATAGAATAAGAGGCTGTAGAAACACTAGAATTCCATATATTCAAAGTAAGGCTTTAAAACCAGAGTGAACAAGGAAAGTCTGGAACAGCAAAAGTTATTTCAGTCGTAAAAATATCTATTGCTCATTATTAATTGTCAGTTTAGTGTTTTGGAACACAAGAAGCTGAATGAAGACCTACTTGTCGTAGAGGATCATGGCATCATTTTGAGCCTCCTGGCCATCATACTGGCCCTTTTTAGATGCTAGCTGGTTCTGGAAGTTGTCTGCCGCCAGCCAGAACTGCAGTACATTCATGGCCTCTTCCTTTTCCATGTACTGCAGGGAAGGAGATCAGAGCACAGAACAACTCAACTAAAAGTCCCTGTGGGTTTTTGCAATATCTTTGTTTAAATATGTATTCTATGCTGACTCTGGTTCTGGTGTTAACTGTCACTTTTGCATCATATATATAGGTTGGTAGACTGTAAAGTGGATTCGCCCTTTACATGTTTTCCTTTTCCATTTTAAGTTTATTGCCGCTCTGACAAGCAGTAAACAGACAAGCTTGCTCGAAGTGTATAATTAGGAGGAAACAAAAAAAAAGGTAGCATTGGTGTAAAAATGTGTAATGAGGCAACTCACTCACCTCAGAGAAGTAGAAGAGAGCCGACTCACAGAACAAGATGTCAGCCAGGAACACGGAGCCACTAGTCAACACTTCAATCTGGTATTTACAGAAATGATGGCTCCGCAGGAATTCACTAAAGTGCCTGGAAATGAAAGAGCAAGTGGGAGATGAAAACAGCTGCTACACTGTGGATGTCAAGGTGGAAAAACGACAAAAGATGCTGGTTGCACTTTAATCTTAATGTCAAAACACGGCGGTGTGAGTATTAACTCTTCTAGAAAATGAATAGACAGAAACTCACTGTTGCTCCAAGATGGTGAAGGCTACCGACTGTGCAATGACAAAGCAGTTTGGGTCCACCATGCCATCCTCTCCACATATCTTAGCTACACAGACAAAAGGCAGGAATATTATTGCACTGAAGATGGACAACATACAGTTTTTGTGACAGAGTACATAACATAATGTGTCTGACAACTGGCAACGTCTGTATCTTACCAACTATGTCATTTCTGATCTGTTCTGTGATGGGGATGGGCCTCGCAGCGTCTGGAGAGATATACTTGGTGAAGATGGTAACTGCATCTTTCTCTATACCTGAAAAACCCAGAGACAAACAGCTGATTATGCTTATGCTACAGACACATAAGATTGATGTTTGTTCCCCCTTTATGTTAATGAAAGGATAGGATAGTTTCCACTTTATGTTAAAATCCCTCTACCGTTGGTCAGCAAGACAAGACAAGAGCGAATTTCAGATAAAACAACTACTTCATGACAAGCAAAGACAAGCTTCAAACATGTGAACGTATTTAAAGCTGTATAAAACAACTCGGAATCACAAAGTTGGGCTGCAACAGAGATCGATGGCAGCAAATAATTTCAGGTCACTGGTGAGAAATATTTTTGGTGCACAAACAGACGGCTGCCAAAAAGGTTGCTCTCCACCATTCCCCCAGGCAACAGCCAAGCTAATAACCCAATCAGATAATAAGCTAATTAACACATCATCCATTACTGTTATACAACTTTTAGGTGGCACTAAAACTCCACTCCGATGCCATTAAGCCTCTGCAGAAGAAGACGGCGCAACGAGATGAAATCAATTAAAGAGCGCCCGCCACTCAAGCTTCAAACTGTGGGAACCTGACTGGCGCCCCCTGTAGAAAAACATGTGGAAAAACATGATAGAAATACGGCATTTAGTTTTAAATGTTTGAAGTTGAGGATGGTTAGTCTCCTCGTTGCTTCACACAGCTCTGCCTGTTTTTTCGTCCCCTCCGAGGAGGCGTCAGTGACATTTAAGTCACATGCATAATGTACGTCCAGATTTGTTAACCAAGTCTTTGTCCATTTACCTTTGTGGCATTTTCTTTTTATGGATACACCAACTTCTCCACCTCAGCCAAATATAAAATCTTTTTTTTCCCCGCAAATTGAAAGTATGCATAAAAACAGGCGGATGGAAATGCATGTAATATCTCTGCATGAAACTTTCAAAACTGAAAGTTTGAAGAGCTTTCAATCAACAGTCAATCAATTCAGAATACTTTCCAGAATAATAACTAAGGTGATGTGTTAACCATAAGTGTTAAAAAAAATAATAAATAAATAAAAATAGCACTTTCAGTAACAGTAGCCTACAGAGTATATTTGTCTGTGTTTATCCTTTTTACATAAAGAGAGAAAGGGTTGTTTAAAGGTGACTCACTTTTCATGAGTTTGTCAGAGAGCTCTCGCAGGGTGCTGTTTGGCTGCACCTTGTAGGGAGTTCCTGTCCTGGAGGGCGCCTGCCTGCTTGGGGTTTCTGCTCGAGGGGTGCCGGGTCTCAGGCCTGCTTCTGTGCTGGAAGTGTCCCGCTGCTCTGGCTGTTCTGTAGGGCTTTCACTGCTACTGTCCTGGGCGAGGCCACTGGGTTTGTGTTGGGTGAGCTCCCGGAGCTCTGAGCCCGTCCCTGTGGAGGCAGGGACGGGCTCGGCCAACGAGCTGTGTTTGACAGAGTTTAGGCTGTGCGCTCGGACCCGTGACCAGCTGGTAGCGCGGAAACTCTCAGCCTCCAACCAGAAACGAACCAGGTGGTCAGCGCCCCGTAGTTCCGTGAAATGCATGTAGTGGGGCATCGCCACGCTGTCGCGAAGGACATGGTCCACCGTCTTGGACAGCCGAGAGCGGGTCTCCTGGGGCTGATAGTTCACACTGGAATGACCTGGAACACACAAGTTCAGCAATCAACTTAATAGAGCTAACGATAGGCTTCAAAAGACACATTTTAGACTTACGAGTATTTTCTTCCTTTAATTTTTGACAACAGTACAAAATACACAAAGTACTTTACTTACTTTTCAAACATAATGTCCAATCCTACACTTGAAAGCAATATAATGTAAACTACTTTGAATATCAAATGAACCCTGTGATTAGGCCTGCAGATATGAGGAAAATTCACAATGCATGATAAAACAGTTTAATGTTGCGATGATGATATGACTTGTAAATAAATATTTAAGTATGCATTTTAGTTATACAGTTCCAATGTCAGCCTGGCTGTTTTTAAATGCAGAACAGGATTAGAATTTAATATTTTAAATGTAACAAAATGTTTCTAGAGCACTAACAGTAAAGTTTAGAACAGCAAGGTACCTAAATACTCTCAATAATTTCTTAATAAACTCAGCAATATCTTACTGGAAACAAATCTAAAATGTCAGTAGAATAAATCCTATTCCTGACATCAAAATACTGAGTGACGTTTAGAAAGAATCCGTCAGTGCCAGTCCTTCCTTCTGTCCTCCTCCCTGCTGCAGCTGCTGGGATTCACTACCTGCAGGTGACGTTACCTGGCTGGTAGAGAGAGGAGCAGCTGGTTTGTCTCAGCCAGCAGCTGAGTTTACAACAACATGGCAAACTAAGCTAAACAGCTAGACTACAGACAGACAGCTTTTGCAGTTAGCCGAGCTAGCGTGCTGTGTAAAACAGCGGCGGTGGATGAGACAAAGCAGATTAAAACATAGCTTTCTACATGTTCATGCTCTTTGAACAGGTGTATTAAGTATTGTCTTTTCACATACGAAGATTTTACTGCACTGACAGGAACAAGCGTAGCTATCGTCTACTAAAGAAATATTGTATCTTTACGTCACTGCCTCCACCGTAGCCTCTCAGCTTGTGTGTGTGTGTGTGTGTGTGTGTGTGTGTGTGTGTGTGTGTGTGTGTGTGTGTGTGTGTGTGTGTGTGTGTGTGTGTGTGTGTGTGTGTGTGTGTGTGTGTGTGTGTGTGTGTGTAGGAGCTCAGCCCCAACACAGAGCAGGTCAGAGGCTACAGCTTGACAATAAATACGTTTTGTAGCCCAGGGGCGTTTAATGCCAGGTTTCAGCACCCATCCCTTATTAAAAATTGATTTGTCTTATTCATTGCACGTCTGGTACTCTTGTGTTTATTGATTATATCTTCAGTACCTGTGATGCATTCCAAACCTGCATGTAACAAATGCTCTCATCCCTATTTAATTTAATTTAATGGATCAATTTAAATGTATTCAGTAAGTATAAAAAGAAAGCCATCATTACACAGTAAGGAAAATGTATTTTTTAGGTCTTGTGTTTAGATTGGTGGGAATTCATGTTTGCAAGGCTGAAACCACTGAAGCCTTTCCAAACATTTATTTACTTGTATCTGTGGTGTAATTATAGTGTCCATAATTGCAGATCTAACATTGTAACAGACACTTTACAAACTTTAGAGAATTAACATGCATTCACATGACTCAGATTTTTTTCACTTAAGCATTTTTTAAGATTCTTTAAGAGCGCATTAGACACTGAAGGATTCGACTTTAATAACAAACTCAGCAGTACACTTTCTATTATTTACAGCTTTCAACTTTCAAACTTGAAGATAGAAAACATATACTGTATACTGATGGGAGGTGCAACATGAAGTGAAAGATAAAAAGTGGGTTTTCTGTGTTCAGCTCTCCTACTGCAACAGAAATGTTGAAGGCAGATGTGAGTGGACTTTAAACTCCTGGATATTTGTTTTGAAGTCTTGTGAGTTTACAGCTCTCCGTCTGTCTAAAGGTGGCCTTAGACTACGCAATTTCACACATGATTTAAACCAGACAAACCTTTCAGAATCACACGTCAACCGCGTCTGTGTGTCCCGTCCATCCTGTCATTCATGCGTGTTTGAAGTGGTCAGCAATGACTGTGCCGCTCAAAGCAACCTCTGACGGTCGCCAAACTTCAGCTACTCCTTAACAGTGAAAAAAACCTAACATCCTATTCCTCTAGGGATGCCATATTATTTGACTTGACGATGTCTCAAATAGAAACTATGTTTGAATAACGTCCACCATCCTGGAGGACAGCACACTCAAACACACACACACACATACTCCCAGAAAACTAAATAAACAAGGAAGCTTATGAATTCTGATTATGATTCAGAGCACATCTGCTGTAGTTAGACTGAAACGTGGGGTGAGGCTTTGTGGTGTTATGCTCTTTGAAAACAAAATAGTGCTTCAACAGGTGTCACCCAGTGTGAGGTGTCTGTCAATCAGCCTCCATATTCCTTAAGATCACACAGTCATTGCCACCTTAAGCTGTTAAAATCAAAGTCTAGCATCAGATCTACAAAAAGCTGCTGCCTCATTTGCATATTTTCAGAGCCAATCAAAGTCTGTTACAATGTGCGACATCTGCTCTTACTATTTTAACTGCCATCAAAAGAGAGCAGGGAAATCTTATGATCATGCTGTGGTTCTCACTGCCAGTTACACCTACAGGCCATTGACCCGTAAAGATCAATTTTTTAACTCCTACAATGGCTTTCGGCGCCATCTCTAGGTGGAACCGCTGCCTGCACTCTGTCACTGAAGCTAACCCACCTTACTTCTTTGAAACCTCCTTCCTTTCTCTTCCTTCTGTTAAAACCCCAGCCCATTAATCATTGCCGCCCTGTGCGTTTCATTCAGATTTTGTCGTCCGGGCTGCGGCACAGGTTCCTCCACTTCCGTCTGATTCACCCCACATATTTCCTGGACAACTCGCTCGTACAGTTCCCGTCACTGCTTTCACTCAACATGTCAGCCACTATCACAGCCTCATATCATAGCATCCAGCATATATCATGTTTCTTCACCATGTGACCACATGAGAAGACGTTACCTTGACGCCCTTTGGAATGTTTGCAACTCAAAACTGTGTGAGTGCCTCTGACAAGATTAATGAAAGGTGTTTGCCACTTGCACAAGAGTCAAACTCAGGAATCTTGTAGCTACAGCCCATTACTATGGGAAACACAATCATTCCCGTAAGGTTAGAAAAAGAGCTTATGAAGCACCTTTGCAAAGTTTATAATTCTTTATATTTTGTTAATTTTTGTTCATATTATTATAACTATTTTTGAAATTGAATCACTGTTTAAGTGACTTTTCAAGCAAAAAAGCCAAACTCAGCTTCTTAAGCACATGATATCTTTGGGTTTGTACTGTTAAAACAAGGAATTTAAAGACATCACCATGGACTCTGGTAAATTACAAGGGGTATTTTTCAATATTAAAACATATAATATCAATATTATTAAAATTAACCTATAATGAAAATGATCTTCACTTAAAGCCCAACTACTTTTGCAGTTTGTATTGGTAACAACCTAATTTCATTTTAACCAAATCTAAGTCACTTTACTACACATAAAAGGTTTTTAATTCATAAAACAACACTGTAACCTGCTATCACTCCCAAATTGGTTGACAGGTCACAAACGAACACAAGACAACAAATAAAGTGAATAATGTTTGTTACATAATTTTGACTATTAAGGTAAAACAGACCTATGTTTCAGAATATATTGGCCTTTATATGTTATCACTGAAAACAATACACAAACACATGAACGCAGGCTCCGTACCCAGATCTCCAAAGTGTGCAGCCTCCATGTGGCTTGGCTGTTTCTTGAGGATGGCGGTGCGACCGCGGGCAAAGGAGTCCATGTTGGCAGAGATGGCATTGATGGCCACATGGCTGGGCCCGGCAGCTTCCTGGATGGCATGGTGGTTCCTTAGCCCTAGTGAAGGAGAGTGAGGGCTAACTGGAGCTGTGAGTGGAGGATAGAGGACAGAAAATAGGCATTAGGCTAAAAAAAGAATAAAAACATAAGAGTACAGTAACGTTCTGAGTGTTCTAAACGTATGACGTCAGTGTGACTTGTATGATAAGGTCTTTTTAGTGAAGGTTCTTGAAAGAGCTCACAGTTTGTGCACAGTGGCCTCGGGGTGTGAGAGATGTCTGAGAAGACAGTAAGTGTTTGTTAGACTGTGAGCTGTATGTGTTTCCCTTAGTAGCCTGAGTTCAAAACGTGGGTCCTTGTGACAATAAAATCAGCTATGATTAAACATAGTAAGAGCCAACTAAAGCAAAGAGCTATTAGAATCACTTCCTTAAAAAAGGCTAATCTCAGCTCTAAGTGCAAACACATCCATAACACATCTCAAAGTTTCACAAATAACATCAACCAAAATTAAACACCCTTTTCTGTAGTTTTTTTTTTTTTCATGTCAATTGAAACAAAAATAAAAAAGCATTTTGTGACAATTTCAGGAACTCACCTCTGTTGACTTTAGCATCTGTCACTTTCTCAGGTTCTTTGCTTTTGGCTGTGGGGAGATATATGAGATGTAAGTGGAGAAGCATTTTCATCCTCAACAGAGGGCAAGACAAGCGAGCAAAAAATTCACACATTCATTGACTTACATAGACTGGAACGCCTTATCTACTTACATAATGACATAGTGATAGTGAGGAAATTGACATATACTACAAAAGCAACTGTGAATAACTACACTACTAAGCCCTCTCAGTCCTGCTCATTACACAGTAAGCAGGTCTGAGACTGGAGACTTCATACTGGACGTCAGCATTAAGAAGCCTCCGTAATATTTGTGACCTTGGTGGGTCCCAGCTGCTGAAGGACAGATTTTCCCGAAGTCGAGTGGAGTTGGCTGTCTGACAGCTTACACCTCTATAAGAGTTCTTGACCGTCCATAAAGAAAAATCCATGGTATCATAAAATAAAGTGGACGAGCTAACATTATGTGGCCTAGTGCAAAACTATTTAACACTTCAAATATCTGACGTCGCTCCTTAGCATTGTGGCTAACTGTCAACTAAAAAATGATATATGGAGCCTGCAGTGGAATGAGTGCACAGCGGCAGACATGGTGGCCAGCAGGGTGACTCACCATTCATATCTTCAGATTAGGCTGTTGCTTGCTGCAAAGAGTAGCCAGGCAAAGTATCAATTTCAAACACGGACATAAAAATGGACTGAGAGGCCTGGGCAAACGGTACAGAAGATGCTCTTTCAGCGAGACACTTTGGACAGGACTGTTGGTGAATGCATGTGTCAGCCAAGAGTCGGTTGACACTGACAGGATGTCTGTCACAGCGTAGAGCTGTGACTTGTAAAAAGCTGCGATGGATCTACTGTTCCACATAGATAATTACAATTTGACATTAGCACTATAATTTCTTTGGAAAACCTTCTCTTTGCTGTACACAACCATGGCTATACGAATAAACGCACTTACTTCCTGTCAGTCAGAGTGTCATCCTAGTCCAGAGCATTTTAAGTGCTTTCTCTCTCTATTATTTCCTCATTTTGGAGATCTGTTGTGTCAGCTGCTTTGACAACTGTAGCCTATGAGGAAAGACCACTATCCTTAATCTCGAAGATGAACAACTGTGGGCCAGTTTAGACAGTGAAGCTACTGTTGCTGCTTGCCCGAAAAAAAATACTTTAAGCCGAGTTAAGTTCAAAATCCATTTCATAATCACTGCCTCGCCATTCTGTCTCATCATATTTGTATACTTTCTATCAAAGCAATGAGATCCACTGTTGGGATGATGCAGTAAGAAAATGTAGTGCTTCTTCTCTAAATACACCTCATTTGTTAGCGACACCTAGCTGAAACTGCTGCGCTCCAATACAACAATCATGCAATAAATCCTAACTTCATGAAGGTTATGATGCTCACATGTGTAGAAATACTTCTAGAGAAGTGAAACTATACGGTCAGTGTGGATGCTAAAGGTTGTGGTGCTGTTGAACTGTTTTGCATTACACTGAGAGATGTATTTCATATTTAGTCTACCCTAATTAATGTAAATGGTGTGGACAAAATATAAGAAGCATCTTTCAGTAGACTGCAACTACAGGCTTCGAAATGACCATTAAGTTGAATCAATATCTCTACAGCAGTTTCAGCAAACACCGAACATCATGAAGGTAGGAGTTATTAAAGGGCTGAGCTATTAGATTTGAGCTATTTGTACCTAATCAACTACCAAACGAGTCTAACAGAGGGGCAGCACATTTTTAGCCAGCACGTATTTTGCACCACCAGCCCACCTGATCACAGATCAACTCGGGACATAAAATATATTAAGCTATTAAACGTATCTTATTTCACACACCAACACACAATATTTATGTCATACATTAACATTTTTACATGGTAGCATAAACTATGAAGGTTTATCTTGAAATGATGTCTGGTCATGTGGTTTATAACCAACACTGCTAAAAGTCAGGTCCAATTCAACCAGTCGCTTCTAATTAACGTGGGATGATACTGACCAATTTCGCTAACGCTAGCTAGCTTACATAACTTGCGGTTAAACGTTTCTTAATATAAGAATCCACAGAAATAATAACTAGCAACTCAGATTCAATAGGCTATTATTACCTTTTATATAAATATTTCCTGTTGGTTAAGGCAGTATGAAAATGCCCTGACAAAGCTAGCTAGCTGCCATAGCACAGTTCGACACTTGTGTCAAGTGATGGCTATCACACACACACCAGAGCTCATTCAGTCTGTAACATTTTTAAGCATTGTTTGGTGCATACACAATCATACTGGTGAGTTTTAGGAGGTATACTGCTGACAGCTATCTGCGGTGGATTTATTGCCACCCTGGCTAATAGTAGACTGGATGAGGCAGAGGAGGCACAGAGGCCACCGCTAAGCTAACAGTGTTTCTGTAGTGAGCAGCGGCAGCAGCAGGAAAACCCCATTTCGATAAACACCACGGTGTCCTCAGCTAAGCTGCTTGCCACAGCCGTCTCCATTAGTTACAACTTTTCGGGGACCACTCTCTCCTCAGTCGGACCCTCCCTGCTGCTAGCTACCGTTGACGTTGCAGCCCTCAGAGAGAGCTTCCTCACCTTTCCTCTTGAAAAACGACATGACGGATTTCACACTCGGGACGTTTCCTCAGCTCACTGACACCCTCCCGTGGATTCGCGGGTCCCTTCATTCAAATGCATCTGTGCTGTACACTCCTGGGGTGGAAATGGGTTATTATCGCAGCCCCGGTGAGCGCTGTCAAATTACAGTTTTCTCCAAATCAAAACCTGGTTCCGCGGCCATATTGTCAATAAACGTCTAACTTCCGGGCTGGTGCGGCAGCAGCATTGTGGGAAATGATGTGTTACCTGCTCTGGTCAGAAGAGGGCGGTGTTTCTATGTGGACAAATCTAAACAATTACATTAATATAAGTAAAAGGATTTTGTGATATAATGTGGTTTCGACAACTTGATAAAAATATTCAACAATAAATGTATGTAAATGATTTAATTATGATATTGACAATGTACCATGCTCACAAATCTAAATAGACTGACCGAACAGTACATTGACAGTTATGTTTTCCTGTACATGCATCTTCTTGGCCTCTCGTTGACCATATGTAACGTTGAAAAAAATGTAAAGCAATCCTTCAAGCATAATATTCGTATACATTTTCCATGCAGGTATACAGTATACGTTTAATAATTAACTATTTGTGTGTGTGTGTGTGTGTGTGTGTAAATGAGCCTTTAATAACTCAACTTGTGGTTTCTTGTTATAATTTCAAACACAGAACTTGAGTTTAGCACAGTTTAGTTTTAAAACCAGGGAAAGTTACACAGTCACACAAATGTAGACTCTGTTGAGTTTTTTTTTCTTACCTTAAGTAGGTGCTTCCACATCTGTCTGAACAGACCTCTGCTAACACACATGAACATGAGGGAGATAAGGCTTACTTATAAGCATGTGAAGTGAAAACACTTGTGTGGGGGTGGACCACTTGTGTGTAATAGTGTGCTTGTTTTCTCTCTGTGTAAACAGTGTATGGACATCGCAGCAACTGCCTGGTCTGTCTTTCACAATGTTTATCATGATGGAGTTGGCAGCAGGCGCCAATGTATTACAAAGTCCCAAATTTGCTATTCTCTAGAGTCAGACGTAATGCATGTTGCCAGTTACTACTGCATTTAAAGAACAGCGAAAACAACACAAAACACTTCAAAGAACTTCTACATTTTTTATTACATGAAAAATAGTGATTTCTTTTTTAAGAAATGTATGTAAGTGTAATATCTTAGAGACGATTAAGAGCAAAGATGATGATGCAAACTAATCATTTTCTGTAAATGTTTAGTTTCTGTTGGGTTTCTAATACACAGAAGCTCATATAAATCATATACTGCTTGATTTATTTAGGCTATCACGAGATGCTGTGCTGCAAACATGATTTATTAATTCATTAATTTCATTTTTCAATCGCGTCCAACTCCATGGGTCTCTCTGGGCCTGTCGATGCGGTAGACAAACTCTGCAGGCATGAAGTAGCCCAGGTACTCCACCTGGTCAGGTGTGGTGTCTATGTAGTAGTGACCACCTTCTCCGTGGTGGCTGAAGCAGTGGGTGTGCTCCACGCGCAGGTCCAGACCCTAGATACACAGCAAACAAATGAACAGAACATTTACAAAGCAGCCTGGTTTGCAAATGCACTGCGGATAGGTGCTAAAACCAAGTCTCAACCAATGTTTGCTTTTCTTACAGGGTCTCTGGATACCAGCACTGACTGGCAGATGAGCGGGGCGCTGACCTCAAAGTGCTTGAGCCAGTTGTTGACGTCATCATTGGTGTTGAGGGGGCAGACTGAGAACTCTCTCGGCTATCGATGAGCAGAGACAAAGAAAGAAATCACTGCGTGTAACTATCAGTCATGCGTTCGGTGCCACATCTAATATTTACCATGATGTGGATTTTAGCTTTCCCTTTCTGGATGATGAACGTGCCTCCCAGAGCCAGGCTTTTATCAGGGTAGTGACCTTCAAGAGTCTTCCTCAAGGCCGTCACAAGACTGTGGCCTCCTGTTCTCTTCTTGGCCCGCACCTCTATGACCTGGAGAGGCACACGGGCGAAGAGGGCATGACAACTCTGCTTGAACAGTCACTTTCCTTTTGTTAATGTTTATCTTTTTAAATGTCACGCATGGGATGGGGCTGAAGTTCATGAACTTAGGAAGGTTATTATGTGTTTAACCTCATTTATGACAACAAGAGATGTTTATTAGTTGCCGAAAGCAAAAAAACACAAGAGTGTATTTTTGAAGGCGCCCCCAATGCGTGCGTCATCATTCATTCTCAGAGGCAAAAAGGCAAATCTTGTTTGACCAGATAAGATGATTACCTTTCCAGACTTCCCTTCACAAGCATACAGATTGCCCAGTAGTCCAAAGCTGCAGTCAGAGAATTTGTCACTGTATTTTTCTTGCAGACACTGGCCATCGGCTGGATTGATGGAGGAGAAGTAGCTGCTGTTCACTGCCGGCCTTCCCCCAGCTTCCGTCAGGACCAGAGGCATCAGCTGTGGACGAGAATATTTGTTCCATGTGTTCCAACTTCTGTGTTACATGTTTCATTCTAATTTACCTTCATTTAACGTAGCCAGCGACTCAAGTGAATCAAGTCAGTTGCTTCACTGCAGAGCAGCTTGCTTGCCAGATGAGCAGTTGTCAGTCCAAACTCCAGAACGCAATCGAACAATAACCAGAAGTTTGTCTTTTTAAATCCAATATTTACTCTTTGGTCAGACATTCTGGTTAAAATAGATAAAATAAACTATCTGACAGACGACATTACTGGTACCAGTTTAAATTATTCTTTGGTCACTGCTTTAACAAATCATTGTTTTGCGTGCTTAGGAGGCTTTCAAGATGATATCTGATGCATCCACACCAGGGGAAAGGAGTGGAGAGCGGCAGCCTAAGCAGTGCTAAAGAGTAGAGAAATTAAGTGAAGATGTTTTAGTCAGGATCTGTGGTGTGAGGGGGGTAAAAATGATTCACCTCTGCATTCATTCCAATAATTCGGGAGGGAGCGCCTGCTGCACCGAGGATGAAGGCTCCTGGCAGCTCCAGCTCCTTTGATATGGTGTTCATGTTGTATTCCTGGGAGGAGGAGAGACGGCAATATAATAACCCCATCACTTCACGTTATTATCTTATCTATTTTCATGCAATATTTTCATTAAACCTTGTCCTTCCGAACCAAGGGGACCAAATACGGCACACCGCCAACATCAGTGATGCGAGGACTTCCACACAAGCCTACAGTATGAGGACAGAGGTGACATTAAGACATACATGACACAAATCAGGTAGGCTTCCAGAGTTCCACACATGTAAATGTATATATTGTTTGCTCTGTGTTTCAATCCACAGTCTGAAAAGTACATGCAACTACACTTCAAATCCATGTCCCATGTCAACATATCAGAGCTTGCACACTAGCTGACTGGCCTATCGCACTGTCAATCAACATATCAATACCCATGGTCCCTCAGCAAATTGAGCTATCAGGCTTGCTCTCTTGTGTTATTATGACAATCAACATGTAGGCATCAAAAGAAGGCATGTGTCCCAATATTACATACAACATAGCAAGATAGACAACATAGAGGAAGAGGCTATAAAGAACTCAAGGAAAAGTTGCCTCTGTTATCAATCTATCTTTTTGTTTCTGTCCTGTTTTTATGCTGTTTTGCTTTCTTTTTAACTTTTAATAGTTACCTCTAGTTGTTATTGTGGGTTTAATGCTGATCTTGTTTTGTCTTTTTTTACCATGTAAAGTACCTTTGAGTACCAATAAGTATCAATCAGAAAGGTTTGATTTAAGTAAAACCTGAGCAAAAGTTACTTTACTAAATCTTTTTGTTCTTTATGAAGCTGTTGTAAACCCATCAGTTTTACCAAAAGCCTCTCAGATTTCACTGATTAGTTGGATTGCTGTTCTGTATTGAGCTATTATATCTGACTAACTTCATTTCAATGAAATGTGCTGCAACTTGATGGATCTCTCTCTGTTTTGCATCTTATGATACTTTGATGTTTTACTCATTTTTGTTTTAATTCTCTTCTCTTTTTTCCTACACATCCTCTTCCACAAGGACATGTTAATAAAAAAAATGTAAATGACACCCTTTGTCGTGCATGAGGTTGGTCCTCTGATATTTTCTTTACATGAGGGTCGCTGAACCAAGTTTGTCAAACCTAGCATTTAGTTTTCATCAGGGGTCAGTGTGATTACAGTTTGTAAAGAGCTCTGTTTTTGTTTTGGGGGTTCCATATTCAGGATGTACCAACTGGTCCCTGACATTATTTCCTCTTATGAATATTACTCTTGGCTTTTCCATGTGAATATTTTATATCAATTCATCTTTCTGTAATATGTGCCAATGTTTTTGGAGAATGTTTTTATGCCTTTGTTGCAAAATTAATTTAGGCTAAATAAAAATTCTACATGTACTAATTTTATTTTCAAATAAGTCTTGGTTATTCTGAAAAACACACATTATGAAATAAGTGCACCTAATAGGCTCTTACCTTTGACAGGAAACTGGAAGGGCTCTTTGGTGAGATCTGGGCACTCCACAACACTCACCTGAACTTCAGCAAAGTTGTCTTCCAGTCCTGCTTGTAATACTGCAACCAGCAATAACGTCATTATTACTCTCACTTCACTTTATGAACATCCTTCTTCATAAACCTGCCTGCGCCGCTGAGCCTCTTTATCAAAGCTAAGCCTTACCAACACGTAGTTCCCCTAAATCTGGCGCGTGCAGCTGAACCTTTTCAGTCTTGTTGACATCTGCCATAACTGTACCTGAAGGTAAACGTACCAGCAGACAGCTAGTTCTGCAGGAAAAGGGAGAAGTCGATTGTTAAAACGGTGCGGTATGGTTGAACCAAAGAGTAAATACTAACAAGATCGTTCCTATCCAGTTCCTCTCCCACATAGTATTTCTTCTAATAGTCGTACAGTTTATTAGTTTGTTAGTTATTTATGGAATTACTGCTTAAATGTATTAATTATTAATGTTTATGGTTAAGGTTGTAACAAATTAGTTTTTTGCAAGTAAATAAGGCATAATTAGAAACTTACAAATGTGTTGAGTTTATATAAATACTAAATATGAAAATAATGTGTAGTGTAATATGGGAGGGAATTATGTTCATATCAAATTATGCGACCTATATAAACTCATGTATATATATTTTATTTACATCCATATGTATATTGGATGGTCAATGCACTTAATTACTTATGTGAACAATTGTTTCAATTACCACAATATTCGCCTGCTGGGTTATTTTGGCCTGTGTAAATGGACTGGGCATTTCTGGTAAATACTAAGATATTTTGTTGAAAACAGGATTCAAATGTTCGTTCAAAATAAAATAACACTTAACTCAAGATCAGCTTACTGGCGTCTTTATGTCGCGCTCACTGGTTTGTGTGTAAAGGAGGAACGTCTTACATTTATTGTGGTGATCCGTGCAGTCGAAAACGGAAGCAGTAAGAGGGAAACCTCCAAACCTCCTGCTCAGCTCGCTCTTGTTGAGTGACCTTTACGTCCTCTTTGGTGATTGGTCAGGTGACTAGTCGTAAGGTTGATGACGTTTAGATACTTCCTGTTTAACCACGTGTAGTTCCCAACGTTACTTTTTATTTGTTTTGATGCAACTACACGTTATTAGAGAGATGTTTAGTTAACAACCGGTATTCTGCATCTACCGCGGACCTTTAACAACTAACACATTTCGAGCATTTGTTCGTCGGAGGCATCAAGCAGGTCTCTCTTTTTATTTCTTGCTAATGAAGACCTCCCCTACTTTGCTCGTTATCTTTTGCTAGGCTACACGATGACTGGAGAGCACGATTCTCTACGTTGGACTCGATCTGAAGCTGTATCAGCGAAGTCATGCCATGTTATCCTGGAAACATTATCTCCAGAGTGTGTGGAGAAGATATCGCGGTATCTTGAGTCTTCTGCGGGACACAGCGGACAGGATAAAGTATCTAATGAACCTGCTGCAGCAGAAAGGTAAGTTTGTCCCTCAGATATCGCAAGCATGATACAGCTTCTTCTGTAAAACAGCAGCCTGAAATCGCTCCAGTTTGACTTTCTAAATGTTTAATCATGTCTCTGCAGTGATTCAGGAGACAGCCTGTTCATAACTCAGAAGCCAGTACCTGAAGCTGTGAGATCAGCAAGACCGCGGCACTACAGCTCGAGGTCAGACCCCATATCTCCCAGAGCTGTAGAAGAAAGTGAAGAGGACAGTCCATCATACTCTTTCCATGGAGAATCCAAAACCGACAGAAGGAGGAGAAAGAAGAAACACAGACTTCCAAAATACAGTTTCCCATTCCTCGCAGAGAGAGAGAGGAAGCCAAGAAGCACTCTTTTAGCTGGCCAGCAAAACAAACACCTTCATGTAAGGAGAACCAAAATTTAAATGCATTTTTTGCTGGCTGTTGTATAACTCAACAAATGTTATTTAGTGCTAAAGTTTCTAATTTTTACAGAATTATGCAATGGGAGGCTTCTTTAAATGTGTCAAGGAGCTGTGGCAGGACTATGGAAGAGGAAATCTGGAGTCGTCTTTGCCAACAGTCGACATGGATGAGGATTACATATCTCCATTGTCAGAGTAAGTTTGTTTCAAGGAATAATCGTGCTTATTTGAAGTTGCATGTATAATTTTTTAATATATATTTTTTGTATATAAGTAGCCTAGATCCATCAACACCCAGTAACACAGACTAACGTCTAATCCTTCATTTTTAAGTACAATTTAACTGGTCTACCTACAACTCTCAAATAACTTGTGGGCTTCCCCAAGGATTGATTTTAGGGCCATTTTTTTTTTTTGTCTTTGTCTTTTGAATCTATTTTTATTATTTTACTATTACATTTTCATCATTTTTTTCATCATCTCAACTCTTTTACTTTTTACATTTGTACTGTCTTATTATCAGTTTGTCTCTCACATGTAAAGCACTTATAATGTAATTAGCATGTATGAAGGGTGCTGCACAAATGAAGTTTGATTGATTGATAAGGTAATAAAACACGCCTATTCTGTTGTAGACAAGAAGAAAGGTCAGAAGATGAGGACATTAAAGTGGTGGTAAGCAGGCTGTTAAAACAAGGAATCTTGCATTCAGTGGACTTTTTTGTTTGTGAACTTGGCTGTAATCTGTGTGTCATTTTACAGGAAAGGAAACATTTGGTGGCACCATCAAAAGCAAAGAGCCGACAGACCTGGTGGAACCAGTTAAAGCAACAGAGGGCGACGAAAGCTTGTAATGCCAGACAAGAATACTCACAAGGAAGACATAAATTGCAAGATAAGGTATCCATATTGAAGACGACAGTGTTGTATTCGGAAACAGAAAACTCTGATGATGGAGAGTCTTCTTGTAGAGTTGTGGTGGAGAGGGAAGAAATGATGAACACATGGCAAGTAATGGAAACTTTCTTGCCCAAACACCAAAGACAAACAGACAGTTTCAGCAAAATACAAGGAGGAAGAGCTGCATAACAACGGAGATGCTACGGTTCGTGAGCCACGTACGCTACAGAAAGTCCGAGGCTATACACACGGAAAGGCAGAGGAGCATCCGCAACTGTAACAACTGTTTTCCACCTAGATTATCTGTTCCAGACAGGACAGGCAGAGGAGGAGCATGAAAGCCAACATCTCCACAACAGTGTCTCAGGCCTTATAAGTGACACTAATAATCAAAGTGAAACCAGGGTAAGGAAGAGGAAAAATAAGAAAAAGGACAAAGGAGATTGTGAAAGTGTAGGAGAACAAAAGGGTCAGGGTCAGAGTCAGGAAGAGCTTGAGGGTCTGCATGCCACAACATCTGTGAGTGTGGAGGTAGATGAGACTCCCAGCCTGTCGGAGGATAATAGGGAAAAGCCTCGGCATCCCAGGCTAATGATGAGCTGGAATTTAATGAAAATAATTGGATGGAGAACTCATCACGTGATGATAACATACTGAGACAGAGGGAGGGAGACATTCCCGATTCCAAAATAAAGAAAAAGAAGAGAAAAAAGAGTAAGTCAACAGAAAATGTTCGACAGGAAGTGGACGGAACCTTCGAGTCAGATGTGAGAAAGGTGGATTCTGTGTTTTCGGTGAGTTGTAACGTTGAGCATGGTGGCAAGCAGAAGAAGAAAAAGAAGAAAAGAAGTGGTGAGGATGATGAGGCTGTTGAGCAGTCACAGGCCAGCACAGTTGCCCAACCTTTAATTGATGATGCTAATGTAATGAGGAAAAAGAAAAAAAGGAAAAAAGACGAGAGGATTGTAATTACAGAGGAATGTGGAGGAGAGAAAGAATCGAATAGGATTGTAGATTTGCCACCAGTGTCAACAGGACAGTTAGAGGATTCAGGAAATTGTTTGGAAAACACTGCAGCTTCTCAAGAAACATTTGAATCTAGGTATGTCAAAAGAAAAAAACACAAAAAGAGGGAAATGTTGTCCTCTAATGAGGCTACTCAAGACGGAGAAGACGGTGTGAGCTTTTCTAATGTTGCTGTAACCTTGGCTAAAAGTACAGCTAAGTCACACACTCCTGAAATTAATGAAAATGTACATCAGACCCCCCAAAAAAAGGAGGGAATTGAAGAACAAATTGCTCAACTGGGGACTAAGAAAAAGAAGAAGAAGAAGAAAACTCTCTCTGAGGCGGTAGATGTCTCTTGCACTCCCAAAGAACATGATGAAGTTGAAAATGTAGATAATACCCAGAAGACAAAGGAAGGAATTGAAGACCAAAATGCTGAATTTGTGACAAAGAAGAAGAAGAAAACTCTCTCTGAGGCGGTAGATGACTCTTGCATTCTAGAGGAAAATGAAGAAGTTGAAAACGTAGATAATACCCAGAAAACAAAGGAAGGAATTGAAGAACAAAATGCTGAATTGGTGACTAAAAAAAAGAAGAAAAAGAAAATGGTTGAAGTATCTAGCTGGAATATCTCCAAAGACAGTGTGGCACAAAGTGATGATTCAGTGTCTGTGCGGAAAAAGGAAAAGAAGAGGACCTCATCCTTCCTCGTTGCTGATGCAGAGGAAAATGATGCTTGTACACAAGATGAACAAAACTCTCCTGGTGAATATGAGCCTGAATCTGCACAAACGACTGGAAATATGGAGGAAACTAATGATGGGGTCAGAAAAAAGAAAAGGAAGAGGAAGATGTCAGTAACGCAGGACAGTGTGGAAAAAGATCAGGATTTTGTGGATCCAAACAGAACATGTCAGAGCGCTTTGCCAGAAACCACTGACATGAGGGTGAAGAGGAAAAAGAAACCTATGGAGAATGAAAGTGAGATGGTGACCCCCTTGGAAAGACCGGAAAGTGCAGCTGATGCGGGGCATTCTCTAACTGATGAGACTGTGAAAGAAGAAGAGAAGTGTAAGGATGAGCCATGCCATGTGGTACAAGAGAGCCCACCAAAGAAAAAAGGCAAATTATTGGCCCTTCCTTTGGTTGCAAAGGGTTGCAGTGATGAAGTATCTCATGATGGCAGTACTTGTGACCAAGTGACCAAGGAAGCACTGAACACGGTTGAACACGCTTCATCTTCAGAGACACCCGGCAATCAGACATTAAATGAGACCATGGACAAGAAGAAGAAGAAAAAAATGAAATTGACTGATGATGTTCTGCTTGAGGGGAATTCGTTGACCAAGTCTGGTGTGTTAGAGCCCCTAAAAAACAAAAAGAAGCAGTCAGCGGTCCCCAATATCATATCCAGCAGCCCCATGTTATCAGAGACTTCTGTGTTAAAATCTGAAATATCATCTTCAGACAGAATCATGAAAAACAAGCACGTAAAGGTCAAGCGGAGACTTCATAATCCAAGTGAGGACTTCCTTACAGACTGTTAGTAAGAACTCGCTGATTTAACGAGTAGGAGAGTGATGGGGTTCGATCAGTAGAGGAGTTCTGAACGCACACCTATCTCTTTAGACAGACAGTGTTAAGGTTATGATTAAGTGAAAATGTGGCAATTGTGAGCTTTCACAATTACTTTATATTTTAATATATAATTTGTTTTGTATCAAAGCATTTTTACCTACATGACTCAGCGTTTTTGGTGTTGACATGAACTCTGGAGAAATAACAAATCTTTTATTTTTTTTTTTTTACTAAGGTCTTCTTGGAAGGATTCAATATTTGTTATTCATTTGTGTATGAACACTTTTTGTCACTCTTTTGAATGTGAAACAAAATGGACATTTGGGAGAAAAGTCACTCACTGTTGGACAGTAGTGGGAAATTAAATCTTTCCTTGTCTTTTACTTTTTTGAGCGTTCTTCTCTGCAGCTTATCTTTAGTAGAATCTATAGAAATTTTCATCTGATGATTTCAAGTAATTCATAGTTAAGTAAAGTTCTCTTTATTATCTTATGAAAGGTGGCGGCACTTTATATTATCAAGCCTGCCAAACCCTAAACTTTTAATGTTCTGTTAATGGTGTTTGAAATTCAAATGTTAACAACCTGCGCACTTTTACTGCAAATAATTTGATAGTCTTGAGTGATTACCAGTGTTAAAGCTGTAACAAAGTGCACCTTAGGTGAGAACCGTTCATAGAGGTAATAGGTAACACGGATTTAGAAAGTAGATGCGTTCTCTGGAATTTTATTTTGGCACTCTTACTGGAAACTTGTTTCGATCCTTGGCTGCTGTTATATGTGGATAGGAGAATTAAGCTGTACATATAGAAAAATGGACATTGGAAAAAGAAAACTAATTGTATTTCCAGTCCCCTTTTCCCGGAAATTTTTATTTCCACTGGTATTTTGTATTTCTTAAACATGTCAGTTTTATTTTGAAAGCCATGACCGGAAGTAGTGTCTTCTGTCAGTAAATCCCCCCAAAAAATGAAACATTGTTTTGATTTTATTTTGGAAGAAGTTTAGCGGAAACGAATGGGTGTTTGTTTCCGCTAGTTTGACAGTAAACTGTAAACAAAAGGAGTTACCTTGTTAACTGGACTTCCCCACTGTAACTCGAGATGTCACGCACAACTCAGCGCATTTTACTCACGGTGACCGACCACAACAAGCCAGCGGGCACGTTACGTAAGCGCGCAGCCACAGCAGGCATTTAAACAGTGAGGCTGCCGAGCTCCTGCTGTAAACTTTTCCTCTGCTCCTAAAGCTTCCGACACCAGCGTGTGTTCATCTGAACTCTGCGCAGCTTTACTACTCAGACATGTCGTCCTATAACAACAGCGTGTGTTTTAACGAGGCCAGGAGAGTGGCTATATTCGGAGGAACGCACGGGAACGAGTTGTCAGGCGTGACGCTCGTAAACCTGTGGGTTAAGAATAGCACCGAGATACAGAGAAAAGGGCTCGAGACCAAGCCTTTCATCACCAACCCGAAGGCTGTGGAGAAGTGCACCAGATATGTGGACACGGACCTGAACCGAGCCTTCAGCCCAGAAAACCTCAGGTAAACACAGGAGACCTCAGAGCTGCCATGGACAGCGTCGCTGCTGGATGTTGTCGTTAAGCGATACTGGTGGTGTTTTCACCGTCTGTGTGTGTGTCTGTCATCACTGCAAGGTGTAACGTTAGCGGGAACTAACACAAGAGGTTTTGAGTGCTTTACCAGGTGTCTGTCTGTGGGCAGATTTTGTCAAGGCGATAGAGTCACAGCATACTACAGCCTAATCTACCCATAGTCTAATTATTACCAAACAACTGATTTATCTCTTGCCAATAATGACACATTATACTTTTAGGACTAACCATCTTTAATGTTGTACCAGGGGACATTTCAGCAAAACACACATGTCAGTACTGTACCTACTTAACATAGGTTAAAAGTTGACCCTACGAGAACGGTTAGGCATATTGAATTGAATCGATCAGATCAGACCATCACCGTAAGATGGTCTGTTCCTCTCTGCTGTCATTCAGGTTGAATGGAGACTTTTTCATGGCACGGATCCTCAAAACAGATTTTCATTTTACAGCAGGTTGCTGTTTGACCTTGTCTAGGTAATGGGGTACGTTGTGAGCTGATCAATCTGAATAAAAAACAAAGACACGTGCATAGCTATAGACCTACTATAAACTGTGACATTGACTGAATGTGCTTGTGTACATTTTGTCACTGGGCAGTTTTATGCTAATGGACTAAAATCGAGGAACTAACCGGTCCAATGTGAGATCCTTGAAGACCTCTACTCCACACAGTGGGAATATGTTGGGGAAATGTAATGACAGCGCAATTACATAACATTATTGACATCACTGACTGTGTGCTCTGCCAGACAAGTGACGAAAATATCATAAGCTGGCTTGCTTGGGCACCACGGGGTTAACACAAGAGAATGGAAAAAGACGGATAAACGTAGCCATGCTAATGGGAGACAGAAAGAAAGTAATATAGGAATTTCTACATCAGAATTGTGAAATCATCACGCAAATTTGTTGTTTTTTAAAATGAATTTAAATTGTATATGAAGTCCTTAAACCTTCCTGAAAAGTCCTAAAGAACAAAAAATATAGGATATCTTAAAACACTTCCCAACTGAGATAAATAGCTGAACAAAGACTGAATTCTCCCCTTGTGTTGTAATTTCATACAGTTTATTTATTTGAATTTATTTATTTGTTTTTTTCTTTTTTTTAAATTACCCTTATTATTGTTACTAAGACTATACATATATTTCCTATTTTTATATTAAGAGCTGCTACTTCTGGCTATATTTCCTCTGTATCCTTATTCTGAAGAAACTGATTATATGCAGCCATGGTGGTCTGTAAATTTTGCAATTTTCAAAAAAAACAAACAGTAACACAGTCACGTGGACATCTCCGTTCGGCTGCTGTTATCTGTGTGTTTACCATCACTTTAAACCCCTCTTCCCACCCACCCCACCCCCTCACAGACATGAGCCAGCAGGAGCCAAAACGTGAGCCAAACGTGACCGAGGAGCAAATGAGTTAAGACGACTTTTTTTTTTCGTGTGCACTATAGCAGAAAATAAAGTCTTACGCAAACGTTGGCTCCTGTTGACAGTGTGCATGAACACACACAATGGCCTATTTACTAATGGGGTTTGATAACAACATCCTATCCCACTATTCATAAATTCCCAGAATCCAATAGTAACATTCCCATCCTTCCATCCTTTTGATTTTTCTGTGAGGGGAATATTGTTATTTGTGCTTTTCGATACAGTTGAGTGACAATAACTGCTTATAGTGTTGTTATTATTACAGAATTTCTTATGATGTGTACCTAATGATAGTGGCTGTGTGATAAGTTCAGTTGTAATGTTTTCTTTGAAAGTATTTTACTGTGGCTCACTGAGATGATGGTTAAAGCTCAGATCATACTGTATGGGTGAAGTTACTGTAGCTGCCTCATCAGGCAAATTTTTTGATGATCTTTACATCTTACAAACTGTTTCGCCTCTCACAAGGCAACATATAAGAAGATTTACAGTGGCCTTTTTTCCAGCTTAAATAGACAGACAACTCTGTTCTTCTGTTCTCATATCTGTGTCCTCTCAGTTGAATTTGGTGTGTTGGAGACCGCTTTATCAGCTGTAGTTCACTCTATGATTGTGTACCAATGTCCTGGCAATCCAGACAATACCAGATATTTGCTGAAAATGGGGTCAAAAGAGCAGACGTGAGGGAGACAATATGGACAGCAGAGGTGCTGTTCTACAGTAGCTTGGAGAATGTCCTGGACTGGTGGTTATTTTGAAATGCTTTAAAAGAGCTATGAGAAAAAAGGGGAAGCTCGTATTCTCTGCTCAGAGCGTGCAGAATGTCTGTCTGGGGGAAAAAGCTTAGCCTGGGGACAGAATCAACTTCTCAAGGATCCTTTAGTGCAGACATTCAAGGCTGGCAGAAAGTGGATAAAATGTCCTCCTATCACTCACAAAAGGGGGCCACTGTCCAGCTGAATCCAGCTTTTTATTCCAGCGTGGACTTAATGGCTAACCATAACTTTTTACATTAACAAATTAGGTGGAATCATGGTAATTATCAAGACATCATTTGCCGTTATTAATGTTTTCCTGTTATCCACATAGAACTGCAGTGAATACAAACCATACGTTCAATGCAGAAACAGGAAATTCTTGTTTTTGACGCATGTTGCACATACTCTCCATTTTAACCACGGCAGTTACTGTATTAACTTGTAGGTTGTTGCTCACAGAGATTTTTCCACTTATGGCCAACAGTTAGGTGAAAGTTTTGCAGGGCATGTAGGGCAAGTAGACACCCATGTGTAAATCATTAACATGCTTCATAGCTCATTGTTCCTTCAGCAGAGTTGTCTGATAAGCTGGGAACGTGTTGGAATAGGACTGCTTAATCATGCTGTGTGTGTGTGTGTTCGCGCCCTGCAGTGCGCCGGGAGGAGATGACCTGCCCTACGAGGTGCAGAGAGCCCAGGAGATCAACAGGATATTTGGGCCCAAGGGAAGCCCAGAGGCCTACGATGTTATCTTTGATCTCCACAACACGACGTCCAACATGGGCTGCACGCTGATTCTCGAGAGCTCCAAAGACCACTTCAATCTGCAGATGATGAACTACATCAAGGTGACGGCGATGAAAGGCAAATTAGAATTTTTAAATTGTAGGGCACAAACACACATGTTTAGGAGCAGTCGATCTGCAACAGTAGCTGTTCAAAAAAACTCAGCCCAGCGAGCACATACAGCACGGGATGCATAATGTTTAGAAGTATGATTTTTAAACTACGTGCCAAAATTAAAGGTGGTGGAAGGGGGTCTGGTTTCCCCTTACCTCTCTCTCCCACATCATTGTGTGTGTTAAACAGACTGTTTCACTAATAGGCCTCTGGAGAGGTTCAGTTAATATAATCAGTTTACCATTACGTGTTGGACAAAGTCCTCTTAAACGATCAACCATCCAAATACACTAGAGGGTTTTGTTTGAGCCACAAATCCCTTATGAGCCTGAGAAGACGCCTTGTTCTGTTCAGGGCCTCCTTAAAGATAGCACAGAAGAAAAATGAGAACATCAGAAATCAACTCAACATTTTTTTTGGCACATTTCTATAATGTATAAACAGGGAGAAATGTGCAGCAGTTTTTAAGTTTCTTTATGGCAAAAGTACAAATCTTACTTTGCTGACATTACATTAGCTTGCTTGCCAGTTTGGAATATGTTGAACATCTGCGATCAGCTGTAGTTGTTGCTCTTCAACACAAAACAAAGGCATGCAGAGCAACACCAGGGAGGAAGAGAGCAGCCAAAAGCAACATACTCTTCATGACTATAAGCAATAGAGGTTATGAGGAATGTGTTTCTAACTTTAAGAAACAAAAAAGCCTACACAGAGAAACTTACACAGAAGACTGACTTCAGAAATCATGCACTTACAAGCCCAGTATACTATCATCTAATATCAGTAGTTCAGTGACTCATTTCTAAAACATCAGTAATGATTTTAGTGTTTAGTGCTCTACTTAATCCCTGTCTGGGAAACAGGCTCATAGTGTTTTCTTTCATATCTTAATTCCTTGTCTTGTTGATAATCATACATGCATTTTGTAGAATAGAGAGTGTGTAAAGTACAGTACTCATTACTGTGTGGCAGATGTGTTGCAGGATCCATTCAGGCCAGTCAGCCCCTCCACTGATTCAGAGCCACTATTATTTTAACCTGTGATGGCTTAAACTCAGGAGACAAGATTCACAATACTGAAAATGATTTTGTGCCGCTACCGATCCCTAAAACACTCTACCAGCTTAAACTTGATTCATCCACATGGTGATTGTGTTTGTCTGTCTGCGTCGTGAGCTGGTGCAGATTCAGTTTTCCGTTCTGTCGAGCAAAACCTTGTAGCAGTCACTCAGTTAGGTCGGCTGATGTGAAGCATGTGACTATGTTATGGTGTGTGTGTGTTTTTTTTTTTGTTTTTTTATCTGCAGCTGAGATCTTGTTTTTGCTGGTTTTGTGTTGCAGAAAGCCATCACCCCGGCCAGTTGTCTTGTTCTGCTGAATGAACACCCTCTTTTGAAATATTCCACTTCGCGTTCTGTTGCCAAGCACCCTGTTGGTGAGTCTCTCAAGTCCAGCCAAAATTGCTCTGGGGACAATGGACTGCATTGAAGATAGTCCCAGGGCATCCATGTTTTTTACATGTGCGAATGTGCCTTCTGTTTGTTTCATTGCAGGTCTGGAAGTGGGTCCTCAGCCTCAAGGTGTTTTGAGGAGTAACATCTTTGAAGCTATGAGGGTAATACTAAAACACGCCTTGGACTTCATCGAACTGTTTAATGAAGGTAATTTCATAGTACAAATTTTAAGCTATAACATACAGCATTTATATGGCATGAAGGCCAAAGCAGCTGAGATTGAAGCATACATGACCACTCTTGGCTTGGGGAAAACTAATATTAGGATTCATAAAGAGTTATGTAATTGAAAAATAGGTTGTTGTCTGCCTGTTTGTCAGCATCATCGTGAAGAGAAAAAAAGTGTGACAAAACGCCCATGGGTGCCCGTCTGATTCATCCAGATGTACCTAAACTCAGGTCTCTAAATGTATCTGCATCTGGCTCATCCCGCCTCTGCTCTGCCCTTCCTCATCCCTAAGGCACAGAACAGTGTTTGCAATGTTTGGGCTCGAGGCAGCTTTCCCTTCCTCTTTTACGTAAAAAGAGGAGTGCCAAATTTGAGTTGCAGTCTGTCGGTTTCCCCTGACTGGCCCGCCGTTGAATGGCCTGCTTGTTGTGAGTTGGTCAGTTTCCATGTCGTTAAGAGTCTGGCTGCCAATGGTGTGGTAATCTGCTGTCGTAGGGCCACACTGGTGCTGATGAATGCTTAATCACGGAGATGAATCAGTGTTCCTGCGCCTTGAAGCTGAGCAGCATGAAGAACTCGTTCAGCTGTAAGAGATTAAATCGTTGTTACAGTTCTGTAGATTCAGTGGGAAACCTGTTCTGACTATTGGAACCTTTGTCCTTTTTCCTCTGTCACTTGCCTGGTGGTCTTACACTTCTGTGGTAAAGCAGTTCATTTGAACAGCTACTTACTTAATGTCCAAGCTCTGCCAAAAGCCACTGCACTTCCTGTTTAGTTCCTGAGACTGAATAAGGCCACTTTGGCACTGTGTAGCACCTTTCAACCTCTTGTTCAACAAACTTTGAACAAATACTGTAATGTAGCTATATATGAGATTAACTACACTATATTAGAGGCTGCTGTTTAGATTTACCATTCTGTGTAAAGAACATACCAGCTGTATAAATACAGGTATACACATGTGAGTACACTTTAAAGTCCCACAGCAACAAACTCTTTTGTCAGTGTTGGATATTACACCCATATAAAATCAGAATCCGTGTCTTTCAATATCCACACTTTCGAACACATACGAATGTTTGTTATGAAACAAAACTAACTTCATGGTTCCCCCAAAAAAGACAAGACATTCAGTTTTTGCTTATTAATATACAGTTTTTATCAGCCGTTCTAGCAATGTGGCTCTATGGCTGGTGATGTCAATCTGTCCCGTGGCCGGTCCACCACTTGGATTCAGAAATATTCCAACAACTATTTGATGGATTTAATCCAGTTGATTGAATGATCCCTGACGATTCCTCTAGCACATTTATCAAGTCACATTTCTAATGTTTTTATTGATTTCAAAATAACTGAAAGTACAGACAGTTTTCCTCCACCAGGTGGAGTAAGTGACTGACCTCTTTAAAATGCATTGTAGGAAGCTGCATAATCATAATTTGCTGATTAATACTTTCCCAACCCATTTTCCTCTGTGGAGCAGTAGGGGAAAAATCCGGATTTGAATGACAGGATGAACAAAAAATTACAATCTCCCCGGGAGTGCGTTCTTTTTTAATTTGCAGTTACTCTCTGCAATGAAAGCATGCATACACTGAATGTAGTTCTCTCCTTGTAGATCTACATCTAAGATCCTCTCTAGACTGCAGCTTTAGTTCCTTGGATTAAAATGTCCCTTATATTCACATGATGCGGCACTTACTACATCCAGGATACTGGGGAAAACTGTGCCTTATGTCCGTTCTGCTCTGACTTGATGATTTATCTTTAAATCAGTTGATCAGTGACAAAAGTGTTTTCATAACTGGGATCCTTTGCAGCTGGAAAGAAACCCACTCTATCTATATAGCGGACCTGTAATCTGCCTTTCTTGATATTTTGTCTACTGTATTACTGTATTTTTCCACTTTTTTTTTGCTGATTTATTTTTCCATTTCTCACCTTTTCTTAAATAGTTTTATTCTTGCATACTTAGAGGCATTATTCTTGTTTTTATTTTTAGGAGAAATTCAATCAGGTTAGAGATTGCCTGTTTCAGTTTCTTCCTCATTTCTATTTTTCTTCTCTTGTTAGAAAATAATTGTCTTTGTACATTAGGACATCATTACAGTATCCTTAATAGTTGTTGGATGCTTACAATATTGGGGATGTTGTTTTCTGTGTGGTGTTTAGGTATGGAGTTCCCTCCCTGTACAGTGGAAGTTTTCCGGGTCTTAGAGAGGATTGACTACCCTAGAGATACCAATGGAAACATCATAGCTATGGTGCACCCCAATCTGCAGGTAAAAATCTGAATCGTCCGAATTACGTCTGGCTTTGCTCTTTAGCTCATATATCTGACCTATTAAACCTGTAAATATGAATTATTATGAAAAAAGAAATGAAACATCTTTGGTTCATGTGGAAATATATTATTCTAGTTTGAACGACATACTCAAGTTACTTTCTCTGTGGTGATTGCTTGTTGTTGTTTCAGGACTGTGACTGGGAACCGCTGAACCCCGGTGACCCCATGTTCCAAACATTTGATGGAAAGACCATCCGCTACCAAGGCTCAGGCACCATCTACCCCACTTTTATTAATGAGGCAGCCTATTATGAAAAACAACAGGCATTTGTAACCACTAGGCGAGAAACCTTGGTAGCAAGTTCCATCAGAAAAGCATGAAAAGTTTCTTTGCTTTGTTTGCTTTGCTAACTGGGATCACGATTATATGTTAGCCACAGCAACAATCTATGGATAGAGTTTGCCCTTTGTTCTTTTAGCAAATGACAGACTTTCCTCAGATAATCGTGGATCGATCTAGACACGATCTTTTACACACTGATTTAGTTTTCTATGCGTTTACTATCAGAAAATCTCTTTTAACTATGCAAAGAACACTTGTGAAGGCTTTGTAAAGAGTCACTGTGAAAGTCTTTGATCGGAAGACTAATATATTGCTGTGGTAAGTATTTATGATACTGCTGTAATTTAAAAAATATATGTAAATTAAATCAACTAAGTTTTTCTAATATTAAAGGCCAGACCGAATCATCGATGGCTTATGAATCATTATACAACACTCCTACTACTGCTCAGGACGGCCATTCAGGATCAACCTGCAACTTTTAACCCAAAACTGTAGTTGTTTGTTTTCTTCAGAAAATATATTTGTAACATCTTTGTGAGGGTGTTTGTGGCCTTTGATTTTACCCACCAGTAACTCCAGTGGTTGCGTCTGTGGTGCTGTCCTATCATTGCCTTAATAGAGATTACAGACGAAATTGCACAACAGATCTGAAGTGGGATATGCAGATTATACGTTGGATAACAAGATATTATTTTGATAAGACATTGTATATGTTCTGTACCTCTATACAAATTGGATGAAGTTTGAAACATTTTATAATAATATATGTGTGTCTGTTTTGATATACTTGTACTGTATGTTTGGTTTTAAGTGATGTGTAGGACCTGGTGAGTCATGGAAAGCATATGTACTTTCTAATATTTTTACGTCTTTGTTGTCGGATGGTCTTATAGTAATTCATTTTTCATTCTGCAATATTTTTGGTAGCACCATTTATATCATGATCAGTAAAGTTTACTGTCCTTGAAGTCCTGTGGAAATTGTCCATTCAATAAATGTAGTACTCTGCTATTCTGTGCTATTTTATTGTTTGTAGCTTCCCCCTTCTTACTGTGTTGCTTCGACTCTTCATGCATGCTTGTTTGTCATGTTAGGTAACACCTGCAGCCACAAGAGGGCATCACACAACCACTGATTAAAATCCTCCCCATGATGCACCCTGCTGCAGCACAGAACATGCTGGAGTAGCCTGTAGAGCCTCAGATCTTTGACTCCACTGCCTCTCCACTTTGCTTGTCCCAGAATCACAGGGCGGAAACTTAAATATACAACACACATTTTTAATCATGACTGTAATTTATACAGCAGAAAACACCACATTATATTCATGCACAATTATTGTGTTCCATATATTTGGAAGAATGTTGATATTGAAACTTTTGGAGGGATTTGTAGTATTCAGAAGAAGTTTGAAGTGCTGATCTCTATTCATTTTGTTTAAATGGATATTCTTAAATCTTATTCTAAATTGTGTTTTTTTTTTAACAAACCTCTGTCTTTGGCACAGAACTCAATGCTGACAATGCAATATAACACATCACTGTAAACTGTTGCTGTATGCTGTTACTGATGTCTGTGTACTGTATACGGTATGTACGGTATGTTGTGGATAACATTCAGTGTTTGTAGAAGACACGCAGATGTGTTTACAGTGATGTGTCCTTTTTTAGTACAGTCAATTATGCAGTTACAGCATGAATTTCATCCTGTTATTGTTTGCCACACACTATTGGTTGCTTCTCATTCGCAGCAGTGAATTCCAGTTAACAACTAAATCAAAGGTCTCCTGTGTCCAGGACATCTGGAATTGGATGGGAGTGAAGTAGGTCGATAGGTGTGGCAAGACATTTAAAAATGTGTTAAGTTGTGGTGTATGAGAGGTTGGATGACACAACAAAGAGCAGAAACATACAGTATATCCTGCTGGAGGTGTCATTAATCTGCAGCTCGTGTGTTTGGATCAAAGTAGTGGAGAGCATGAGATGTAAAGAATGCTGTATGTGCTGTTTTTGCATTTACCCAGTCATGTTATTATCTCTGTAATGAACACAACATGGACCAAAGAGGCATCTGTTTTACTGATATGAAGCAATCACATCAGTAGAATTTGAAAAGTATGACTTCAGTTGAGACATGTTTCTGCCTTCCACAAGCTGACTGTATTGAATACTTGCAGACTAACTAGAAAAGTCCATATATTTCCTGCTATATCATGTCAGGCTTGTGATTAGTAATTCAATTTCATGACTATAGGCTGGTCATAGCCTTTCTCATCTATTCATTACAGTAGCCCAATCAGGGCTCTCAGGCCTGCAACGAGTGCAGATCAATGATTCCTCCTGGCTACTGAAAGCTTTTAGGATAATGATTTTTTCAGTTCTGGGCAGGGATCCAAACCAGCACTCAAATACCAAGCGTCCAGCTCTGCCTCCGCCCTTCCCTATCATTCTCTACCCAAAGTAATAACTTTTTCCTCTGTTGTATGGCATTACAACTGTTACTGGAAGTCTCCTACTTGGCTGCTTACCAAGTTTCTACCTGGGCGCAGCTGCATTCCACTGAGATGAAGATGATTTTTCCATTTCCCAAATATGAAAAAACTGTGAAGCAGTAAATGTAACGTGTCTGTCTGGTGTGCCACACCAAAGGTTATTCTGCAGTGATAAAATAGCATCAATAAAAACAAAAAAAAGAATGGAGATGGAAGTTATTGTTATTGTCCTGTAACAAATACAAGCACAAATGCACAGACCAACGCTTTTTACTAGTCTCAGAGCTTTTATTAAGTGAATGAAACCTGTGACCCAAGTAGTCATACAATCTGTGATTGTGTTAATTATTGATGGACTTACGAAAATTACTTATTCCACTTTTTGCTGGGGACCCCCTAGAACTCCCTCAAGGACCCCTGGGGTCCCCGGACCCCACTTTGAGAACCACTGTAGACTACTGAGTTATGACTTGAATGAAACTATTCCATTTTTGAGCTAAGAAATAGCCTATATGTTGCGGTTCTGAAAAGAAACATCAGGTCAGTCACGTATGTAATAACCCACCATGGAATCTGCCATCGATCATTTATCATCCGCAGCAATGAATTCCAGTAAATGAGTCGTCTTATTACTGCGATCAAGTGAACTCTTGTGCGCATGTATTCTGACCTTTATGGTAAATGCATTGAACCGGCCCAGAGCGATCTGACCATCCATCGTCAACCGCTTATCCTGCGTACTGGGTCGAAGCGGGGCTGGAGCCAATCCCAGCTTACATCGGGCAAAAGACGGGGTACACCCTGGACAGGTCGCCAGTCCATCGCAGGGCCACACATAGACAAACAACCACTCACACTCACACCTAAAGACAATTTTGGAGACACCAATCAACCTAGCCTGCATGTCACCCGGAGAGAACCCACGCGGACACGGGGAGAACATGCAAACTCCACACAGAAAGGCCTGGGCAACCAGGGTTTGAACCCACGACCTTCTTGCTGTGAGGCGACAGTGCTGAATAAAACAAGCTGACAGACAGGCGGTAGCTACTTTATTCTCATTTCAGTTTTCTCACTTTCCGAAGACAAGTGTTGTAGTAGCCTATGAAAAGAAATCTTATTTGTATGCCACGCGAGCACACCAGATAGGCCTGCAATAGCCTATGATTTATCAAATTGATACCATAGACTGTATATAAGAAAGTGGATACACATGTGACTACGTCCGGTTTTCAAAATAAAGCTTCAACACAAATTAGGCTGTATCAGGGCTGTTAACGGCCCTGGGCTGTACCAAACACATGTATATGGGAATACGATAAATTTGATTATATTCACAGGAACATTTGTCCCTTTAAAGTAAAAACTTTGACAAACATTCCACAAAAATGGCATGGAAATTGCTTTTTCTTTGATTTTAGTTTGTTAGAAAGACATATAATAAATAATTCCTGGTCAACTCATATAGGCCTATTTGAGTGAAAATCAAGCATTTTCCCACATTTGTACCATGAAATGGTTTCTTTTCTGATACTTGAGGTGCAGTAAAAACACATAGTTCGATACTGCAAGTAGTATGGGACAAATGTTATAGATATACTTTCACATTAATTATCCCCGGTAAAGAACTCAATGAACATTGGATCATAGGAAGTTTCGTATGCATGCTACTCAGCCTATTGTATAGTCGGCAACTTTACAGCCGACAAAGACATACTTCCGGATTACAAAGTAAAGGATGGCCTGGGGTGTCATTTCCATTATTTGCGATTGAGGAACAAAATATTTCCTGTTCACTGAAAAAAAAGGAAAACCCAATGGAGTCCAGTACAATTAACCCAAGCAACATCCCTCCGTAATTCCAATGCTAATAAGCAATTAATTAGGTCCATCCACGTCCATTCCCTACTTTTTTTCTGCCAACCAGCGAAAAAACTGTAGTGTTTTCAATGAAATTGAGGGGGGGGGGGGGGGGGGGTTCGGCGCTGTCCGCGGTGCTGAAGTTGCAGACGGATTTGTTGCACTTTTTCTCTCAGTTCCACCCTTCTGTCAGTTTTGTCTTAATTATCTAAAATATTGGGCCTACTATAAATACACAATTCTATCTTATATTGTAGCCTCTATAAAGTAGTGTCACCTTCGTGATCAAAGTTACAAGTAGCAACATGTAATTGCGCAAGAGTGAGAAGGTCATAGTGACACAGTGCTATGTAGGACCTATTCCATGTTATTTTAAATTGACATTTAAAATTGGGTGCTATCACTTCATCAGTTTCTCAGGGGAAACCCTACATACATTAATTAAGAAGTCATGTCATTATCTCTGGATGGACATCGTACCACTTTTATTTTAATGATACAGTCACATCAGGAAAATCTGAGAAGTTTGACTTCAGTTTAGACATACTTTTGCCTTCCACAAGCTGAATGTATTAAACACAAAGTCCATACATTTCCTGTTGTATCATGTCAGGCTTGTGATGAATTCAATTTCATGACTAGGCTACAGGCTGGTAGAGCCTTTCTCTTCTATTTGTTACAGTAACCCACCTTTTACTTTTACCATATGGTATGGACATTTAACCCCAAGGGTAAAACCTCCACTTCACTAGTACCTGTTGCATTCCTGTGCAATCAGAATTCTTTGTACATTGAGCGTGACTATATATTTTGTGGTACTTAAGTCATATTTGATATTTTATCTGGAGTATAAGTAATATGAATAATTGGTGATAAAACACTTGTAATATTACTATCACACACTATTATCTGTTCTGTAGAATTTAAGAATTTGAGCTAAATGATTGTTTCTGCGTTCACAATTATTTATTAAGGTGTGTTTCCTAAATGTTTTACCATCTGGTTTTGAGGTGTGCTGTACTGATTTCAAGCTTTTATTATTAAGGACACACACCCCGTCCAAAAGTAATACAATAAGACAAAGGAAAAAAACATACAATCCACAATATTAAAAACACATAGTCCACAATATTACCTAGGCCTATTTACATATAGGCTAAAACGCCAATGATTCCACATTCTGGAAAATAACCTAACTGAACTTAGTGCTTGGTTGGTCAGTGCTGAAATGATACTGTTTGCAGAGTCTGATAATCTACACATACATCTGTACATGAGATTGCGCAGAGCACTGACGAACATTTGGCTTGCAATGCTCCATCGTGGCATCTTAAGCAGCAGCCTCAAACCATCATTATATGCTACATTGAGCTTCTGCATACTTCTCTTTCTGTATCACCTCCACAAATGGGCAGTATACATAGGGGTACAATATGCTCTAAAAAGGATAGTCTTAACAGATACTGAGCACATTCTAAATTTGCGAATCAACATACTAGCCTGTGCATACATCATACGACACTGTCTCTAAATGTCCCTATCATCAGGCAGGTCGTCAGTTAGATAATGTCCCAAATATTTAGCCTCATCACAGACTCTAAGGACAGTACCAGACAGAGAGAAGTCAGGGAATTTCAGTTTCCTGTCCTCTCTACTACTC